ACTCTTTCTTTCCCCATTCCCACCCAGCCTGATGGAAATAATGATTTATCAACCAGAATAGCGTATTAACTGCACAGGTGGTCTGAGAAACTTAGGACCACTGTCCTCCTCCCACGTCTGTCTTTTGAGCAGAGAAATTGCAGACCATTGTGGACATCTCTGAAATGTTAATACAGAGCAGGCAACAGAAACCAGAAAAGCCCATTATAATAGTAAAATCGGAATTTCCACAGTCTGTTTGCCACAGCTCTCCGTTCATTTCCATTTAATATAGATATAAATAAGGTGCTCCTGGAAGTGCTGCCTGGGCCAGCCTAGGAAGGGTAGACCAGCCCAGCAGCACGCTCCCCTGCAGGAAATTAATTCTTTGCAAATCACACCATCACTCTGTGCCTAAGTTTTGTCAACAGCAAAAATGTAAATCTCAGAATTCTCATATTTTGGGCAAGCCTTTGAAAGCTAAAATGTGTAGATGTTTCTTACAATAAAACGAGGGGTCAAAAAAATAATTAAAAATAGTGTTTCTATATCAAAAGGACCCTGGCTGCAGAAAAGGGAATAATTTTGCGAAAAACATATTATGAAGTATAAGAGGCAGTGACCAAGATTCGGGTCAGAAGGTGGATGGCAGAAAGAGAAGAAAGCAAAAAGAAAGTCTTCCTACCTACACCTTCAGCATTCTTTCCCCTTCACACCTCTCAACATACGAGTGATCGCAGCGACAGGGACAGAGGGAGCGCTACATTGCCAAAGCTGGTGAGATACCGCTGCGTCAGTGCAAACCACAGCATTGTTTGAACGCTGCCGTCCTGCAAAGTGCCCGTGTCCTGGCACGAGTAGGGGAACACAACCAGCGCCAAAGTACCACACAACCGACCCGGCTTCCCATAGCGTGTTGGCCGGAGATGGTCCAGTGGCAGCGAGGGATTTTACTCCCCCTCTCTGCACATTGGTGTAACGCACTTTGCTTGTGCTAGTTTAACCTTAAAGCAATGCAATGCAGCCAGAGCCCTCTCCCCAGCCTCAGGAATTGGAAACAATTTATTGCCTTTGCACCGCGCCGTTGCGCAGAGCGGCACTCTGCCTCCTTCCTAAAAGCATTATCCCTGCCTTGATGAAGTCCTGCCTGGTGGTTAGCATCAGCCTGTATGCTGTAGCTTACTTTTCGTCGCAGAACTTAGGAAAAGAGGGCTCTTTCTCTTTTATTCACCAATTTTGCTCAGAGCACTGAGGGAGAGGACAGTCCTTGGTTCTCAATGGTTTCCTCACTGTGGCCCTTGAGGCTGGTTCTGAAGCTTTTCTGGGTGCACCACAACAGCACAGCAAAGGGGTGTGACAGTGTTGTGTACCCCAGTGCCAGCCTCCAGGCACTCAGCAGCATTATGCCAGCTCAGCACATTTCTAGACCACTGCACTTTCTATGCCCTGATGCACAAACTTTTGTGGCCATCCATGCTGTAAACATGAACAGTTAATACCCATCTCCTTTTGTCTCAACTGATCTGGAGACAGACAACAGAGAATTAGATATGGTTTTATCCCATGTATAATGCATCATATTTGGGGTTTTTTCCACTTCAAAATAGATCAATGGAGCAAAAGAAGTCAAGAGAGATGGCCAAGATCTCTTGACCCCATAAAGAGTGATCAATTGGATCTTTTGGATTGGACTACAGCCTAACAAAACTCTTAAAATTAGCTAAAATCCATCTCCTGTAAGTACCTTTTTAGATTAAAGAAAAATCTCAAATTCAAGTATAAAAAAAAGCAAAAAGGGCAAGCAGATTTACTTGCATACTTTATTTGCTGCGTTAATATTAAATTGCTGCAATAATATTAAATGTCATTGACAGACCCTTTAGCATTTATCAAAAAACACTTCAGAGACAAGATGATATTCTCTATCAACATTTCCTGTAAGTGTTTTCCTTTTCATCACTTCAAAATAGTTTGCAGGAAGCACTTGTCACATTTTGAGTTGAACTCTAAACTAGAAAGGATACAATTGTGTTGGTGTGGTTTGGGGGTTTTTTTGGGGTGGGGAGAGATGGTCAGGTGAATTGGAAACCCAAAGAATGTTCATTACCTTGCTTATAAATTTCTGGGGTACTACATATAGACGTGCACAAAGTTCAGGGCAATTTTGGTGTTCAGTCTGGTTATGGCAAACACTATCAGTCATAAAATGCCTCGGCACTGGATTCCACAAAGTCAAGCTGACAGAAAAGCGCTCTTGCACAGTTGCCAATCTTTGCTCAACAGAGGCTCAGAACAGAATAAAAATGAAGAATAAATTACCTTTTTCAGAATAACGTGGGCACAGTGCAAACACACTGCAGATGGGCCATAAGGGACACTTTCTCCTAAGCTTCATCCATCTTCACCTTATAGGAGTACTAAAAGCCTTATCAATAATTTAACAAACTAATGGACATGTTTTTAAACATTGTGGGAAGATGTTTAAAGAAGCACCATGTTGGCAGAGCAAGATGGTGAAAGTGGAAAACTTGTGGCTTTTTAATTCTGTGGTTATTTTGAAAGTCAGGACAGCATAGTGTGCTACAGACAGTGTTTTTGTCAGCAGTACTTTCTTCTGCTAGACTTTGAGCTTGGGACCGCAAAGCGGCAACGCACTGAAGGGCAAACTGCACCTTCAGGCGGTAGCAGCGGTTTGTTTTGGAAAGCTCTTCACAGTCAGCAGGACCTGGCCACGTGGATCAGTGATAATAACCTTCCTGAGGCATAACCGGTCAGTTTGCAGCCATTTTAGGCATAAAGATCACAAGTTTTAAGACTCGGCGCTTCCCACCAGTTTAGCTGCTGGGTAGCCCAGTTGCCACCCAGCTGAGATGCACGTTCCCAGGGCTCTGACTCAGGGACCAGGGTGCCAGGACAGCCCACCTGGTTTCTCAGCCATAGCCTACCCCCAGCAAGGACAGCATACACCTCAACATCTCCTGCATATCTAACTCCAGTCTTCGAAGGACTGCAGCCTAAACACAGTCCCCTGTGTCTGGGCTGTTCAAGGCATCACACAAACTACATCCAGCTTCCCTCAAGGTAGAGGGGAAAGAGAAAAAAAAAAAAAAGCTCACTGACCTGAGCACACAACTGGGGTAGTAGAAATCCAGATCTCCTGCTACAGCTTGCAAAAGAAGGAAGGTGCACAAGCTGCCTCCCCTCCTGCACATCCCTTTATAAGCTCACACCCGGCCCCCAGCTGTGCTGTCAGTTCCCAGTCTTAATCACCCAAAAAGAGACTCACTTGGACATAGATCTCCCTCTGCAAAGCAATTTACCTGTGAATCAGGTGTCCTCACTGCTGACGACTACTTTCTCCAGTCAGCTGCTTCAGACCCCAAAATACACACCGCTGCCTGCAGACCTGCATCTTAGCTGCGTAACGCGGGCAACACAAGTGGCTGAGCAACAGAGTGTTGCTCACGCTGGGCTTCAGGCACCAAGCCCTCCTGAGGCTTTACAAACCAGCTACCTAACCAAAATCAGGGACAGAAAGCTAGGAGATAGAGTGCTGAGCCTATGTTCCTCTTGTGAACCAAGCCCAACCCGAGGGTGAATGGATCGCTGTCTGCGGTCGTCACTAAGCCGACGCTTTATTTTCCTTTTCCAGAATTTTTCTGCATTACAGCAGGAGAGCAAACCTCCAAATTCCTCACTGCCATGCTCTGGAGTTTGCTGTAACCAACGTTCCACCTCTGATTTTTTACTTTGCATCAAGGCCTCTTTGTAGCATGGTATCATTATTAAGAAGTGCACTACCTGACTTTCTGTTCCATTTAATTGCTGTGGTCACGTCAGTTAATTTGTACTTTTTGTGATCTGCAGCATATTATTGTCAACTTCAGAGATGGTGCTGGAAAAGAGGAAAAATATACACTGCTCAGTTACCACTAGTTTATTATTTCTTGATAACAGTGTAATTAAATTCCACTGTCGTTGCACATCCTATCTTAGGTCCATGTACTTGAGTAAAACAGTCAAGTAACAACACTCAGCTTGACAGCATCTTCATAAAACTAAATAACGACAATCTACAGATAAGCCAGGCCTTTGCAGCCATGAAACTGAGTTTGATCACCTCATATAAAGAAAATACTGGGAAACATATTCTTCGCATTATTCTTACAAATTCTCTTTATCCTTCTGAAAGGAATTCTGAGATCTACGAAGCAGTGGACATGTAAAGGAGTGCCATAGTAAGGCTGATAAAAAAGCAGAAGTTATATTGGCTTTAAGGAGGAAACAATGATGGAGATATTTAGCTAAGATATCATCATTCACCAAGGCTTGAAATTTTTATGTCAGAACTTATGCATCTACTTACAGGAACACCGTTTTAAACAAACTTCCCAACCCTGCATTTGGAGACAGTGTATTGGTCAGATTTTCAAGTCAATTCCATAAACAGCAGCCCTGAAATTAAGCTTTGCCTACACGTCCGAGGGGCGGCTCCCTCGGAGGTGCCGTGGCGCTGGGGACTCCTAACCGAGCGGTCACGTACGCCAGTGCCTCCCGGACGCCTGCCGAGGGATCAGGAACGCTGAAGTAAACATGAGGCATGCAAGAAACGATCTTGATGTTGTTTGCAAAAAGAAGTGAAAACAGAAGAATAAAAAAAAAATATCTGTGAAAGCATCTCCTGAATGCCAGTCCATGGGGAGCCCGTGAGTGATACATCCCTTCAGATAAGGGATTTTAAAGAAATGGCACATATGTGACAAGTTTGGAGATCTGACACTCGCAGAGAGGCTAGGAAGTACAGCTAGTTTAAGGTTTTCATCACCCTCTTTTGGTTTTGGGTGGGGGGAGAGGGTTTGGCAAAGCTCCCACGAGCCCCCGTGCCCGCCCTTCCAGCCAGACACTGCCATCTCCTGCCGTCCTGTGGCTGAAAGGCTTCTCTTGCCTCCCAGATCAGCATCTTCATGACCCATTTGTCTAACTACGGGAACGACCGCCTGGGCCTGTACACCTTTGCGAACCTAGCCAACTTTGTGAAGAGCTCAACTAACCTGAACCTGCAGACGCTGCCCCCAGTTCAGCTGGCTCAGAAGTACTTTGAGCTCTTCCCGGAGCAGACGGACCCTCTTTGGCAGGTAATGTCACATCCTCTTCCTCCTCCACTTACCATCCACTTGTTGAAATAAGAATCTTTTCCTGTAAAAAATAAAAATAAAAAAAATTAAAAAACCTGCTTCACATTCAGATATGTTATTTCTTCCTGCATGCCTTCTTAGGTTACTTACATTTTCTTGAGAGGAGACTGCTTTTGACTAGAAATGGATTAGCTTCCACTCATCCCAAATCAGGGATGGTAAAAGCACCTAATGGCCATTTATGTGAGAGAAAGCTCCCCTTCCCGTCCCTCCTGTCTGCAGTTTTGCTGATGCACCGCGTTGGGTTAACTGATCGCGTGGCACGATTGGTAAGATGCCCGCAGAGCAGCTATCTCAAGGCACACAATGCAGATCCATTGCACCCCTTAACGGGGAGCCACTAACGTTGGATCACTGCAATGACAAGGAGGATCTCCCACCATCTGAACCCTCTTCAATGAAACAGCGAGGAAAAGGGAGGGCGGGAGGGGTCAGTTCAGCCAACACAGAGTGGGCAGCTATTTTAAGAATGGAAAAGGATTTCGGCACACACTGTTTTCTATCTCTGTTTCAAATGCACAATAGTGCTGCTTGTAATCTCAGCACTGTGATTTCCTAATCGCTGTTACACATACCTGGCTCTTCTCTTATTCAGAATATGCTGTGCCACGCTGTGCTTTTCACTATGCGGGCATAAATCCACAGTGACACCACAGAGAGCTGTGCAGTTATTTTGGGCTTACACTGGCAAAAAGGAGCAGAAAATTTCCCTATTATTTTTGGCCCAGATGTAAAAGAAGTATAAACCCATAATACTTCCATTGAGTTTAGTGGACTTGCAGCGATTAGCATCAGTTAATGATTTTCTCCATTATGTTTTGCTACCTTTATTCACCAGCAAACTGTATCTCCTATTACCAGCAAAAGCAGTATCTATATGGTAACTGCTTTAAAGAGCAGTCAATCCTAACCTTTTCTGTGGGGTCTTTTGTTCACACGTTTTTATTTTGCATTCATAGGTAGTAGAAAGATAAGGAGATGAATAATATCCCACATTTCTATTTCGTCCATCCTTTGGGGTTCTTATGTAAATTAAAATTGGCACTAAGTCCTGTGCCTCTGAAACCATTTTGTCACCTGAGAAAGTAATGCCTTGAAGCTATTCTAACACAGGTTTCCATTTTAACCTCAAATGAAAACTTGATTAAATCAGCATTTCAATCTTTGTTTTTCTTCTTTTTCTTTTCCTTTTTTTTTTTTTCCTAATGACTGAACTTCATCCTCAGTTATACAAAACTATTATATACACATGGAATTTTAGGCAAAGGGACCACATACGTGCCTACCTACGTGCCTGTGGCCTCTGAGTTTATGAAATGAGCCTGACTAACGGAGAGAAGTCTCACAGGGGGTGGATTTTGACACCAACCCTTCCAGGATTTGCACAGATGTGTAGCGTTACTGACTTCCCTGGGACCCCTGGAAGGATTGGTCCTGAAGGATACCTAGGACTTTGGTCCCTCTATGCTTCCATCCTTACCAGAGTGCTCAATATCCATCAAAAATAATCCCTTATGAGGACATGTGGGATTTTACTACTTAGTGTAAGGCTCTGGCATCAGTGCGTAACAGTTAGATCCTGCAAAGACTGCAAACGCGCGCAAACATTTAGGATACCCCCAGCATGATGTACACAACCGCCTTTTCTTCTTCAGAATCCATGTGATGATAAACGACACAGGGATATTTGGTCCAGAGACAAAACTTGTGACCACCTACCCAAATTTCTTGTGATAGGACCCCAGAAAACAGGTAAGAAACAATAAATTTGCCCCCCACTTTTGCATCTGCATATTTGTGTCCTGTAAACTGAAGCCAACTCCCCGCTATAGAGATGGTTCTCTCCCGATCCCTCCGGGACTCAGGTAGTAACTCCTTCCCTGCCCACAGAAAGGGGCAACTGTTTGTGTAGTAAAATTGCATTCATTCACCACATAAAAACCCATGCTACCAGGCTGCCCAGTGTTAAGAGTGTTATTAAGTTCTTTGACAAATTATTTCAACATCGTTTGAGACCCTAATTGACAATAACTATATTTACCACCTTGCAGGCCTCTGAGGGCCTCAGGGCATTATTTGAGTTAAGCCACATATTCCCACTCCTAAGACAGCTATTACTGTTGTGAACCACAGAAAGTGGATGCTGAGACAGGGAAATAAATAACTAATCCAAGATCATATAGAAATTCTGCTACGTGACAAAGAGACAGCAGGCCTTGATTCATAGTCCAATGATAGTTTGCATAGCACGAAATCACTGAAGAGCAAGTTTAAAGACATATTCTCCAAAATTTCGTTTACCACCAGATACAATTTCTAGTTGGTTTTGTCATAACAAATATATATATATATATGATAATATGTCTGAAATAACATAAAAGTCCTGTTACTGGGATTTTAAAACATACTTATTGCACACAGGTTTGTTAGCATTGAAATAGACAATTTATTCCTTAATAGCAGACTCCCAGGAAAAATACACGCAGGAAAAAAGTGCAGCTCTGGGAGAGACAAAAGCATAATCCCACAATGAGTGCTTTGGAAAAGTTTTGTGCAACATGAACAGTTTGAAAACAAACGTGTTCAGGCCAGATTCCCTCACTGGTTAAATACACAGTCGAGCAAACAATGGCATCAACAGCAATATCGTGCTTGTGTTAGAGAGCAGAATTCAGAGTTTGGAAACTGAGGGAGAAGTCTGATGAGCAGAGAATCTGCACATATACACCACCCCCTCCCCCACGTGCTTACATGGACCCTGCATCAATAGGCAACTTTCTTGTAAATGGTAATCTAATTTTCCTGTGTATCTCAGCATGCATCGATTTAAAGTACTTTTCTTGAATGAATAAAGTCAAAGGGGTTATTTTCTATTTCCTAATGGCATCTCTTTTTGTTGTTGTAGGAACAACAGCACTTTATTTATTTCTTCTGATGCATCCTTCCATTATCAGTAATCTCCCTAGTCCAAAAACTTTTGAAGAAGTTCAGTTCTTCAATGGAAACAACTATCACAAGGGAATTGACTGGTAAGAAGAATAACAAAAAAGAAGTATTCATTATTAATACACGGTAAATCACAATGGAACAATTACAGAAGCATGTATGACATCGACATAATTACTGGATGAATTTGTTATGCTCGGCCTTATCAGACAGAAAGAAACTAACTTGTAATGATGGGACATTTAATCAAGTCCTTAATTTTGCTTAGAGATTACAGTAACAATTTTCTTATTTTTTTCACGATCGAATACAATAGCCAGCTCAGTTATGATGTTTTCTCTTCGTGCTGAATAGCATCTCTGCCTTTTCACAACCATATCTATACTGAATTATACTCTTTTTCTTCAAAAGCAGCTTTTCATGAAGTAAGATTCAATTTGTCTCTTCACGAGAAAAAAACCCATACTGTAAAGCATTTCAGCTCGTATTCCTATCATAATTTTAAATATTGCTTTTACCGTTCTTGCTTAAGAAAAGTATTTTTGTAAGGCTTTCGCTTCCACAGGGAACAGCAGTTCTCGTCCTTGTGTGAAAACTGAAATATAAGACAAACATCACACCACACAGAAACAGATTAATTTGGAGCGGTTGTCCTTGCCCACAACGGCATGGAGAGCGTGGGGAGCAAACGAGGCTGACCCATAAAAGCAGGCTGTCCCCTCAACTGAGAGACCAGCTTCTCGGTTCAAGGTGTCATGAAAAGTAAAGGGAAAGAAATGTTTTTCCATACTGCATAAAGAAAGAGAAACCCACTGCTATTGTAGAGTACGCAGTGTAATACACTCGGAGATGAAGGAGGGGCAATGCGGGGCAGGGGTCTCTCCTCTGCAGGCCTTTGCAGAACACGTAGAGGGAGAGGCTGGCCTCTCAGGGACCTCTCCTGCCACGCTTCACCGAAACTGGCCTGCAGGTTCCGAAGTTGGTAGTGTCCTGTGTGCAGGGTGAGGGCCCACACACTTCATTTCCATAGAAAGGACACGAAAAACATTTAGTCCCACCAAAACTGGACGTTCCCAGAGTGCTCAGCAAAATTAAAGGGACAGCAAAATGCCTCCAAACCAACTTTATCTTCTGCCTCATTTGAATTCTTCATGCTTCCAGTTGAACCTTCTGTTTTACTTACTTTCACATCCAATCAATTTTAAGTGCAAAAGACCATGCAAAGCCAAAATTCAAATCTTGCATTCTGAGACCGTCTAAAAGAAAAGATTTGTCAGTTCCAAAATGAAATATTTCAACAATGTTAAAATTAGATGGCTGGCATTTTGAAGCTTTTCCCATTTTGTTCTGCAGCTAAAACTGAACTGACTCCAAACTGGTGAAAGATATCCCTTTGACATTGAACTTATTAGCAAAAATCCCATCCATCAAAGGAAAAACCTAATTACCTGACTTCATGGAGGCTTTAGCTATTACCCGCACCATGTAAAAGCCAAGACGTGTTCCCCTTATTCCAGTTCTGGAGTGAGTTGAGAAATTAAATTTTGTTTCTTGAGAATTATGTCTGAAAACTCACCTTTTCACCTACCATGAAATGGGAAGCACAGGGATATGACCCTTTTGTAATACTTCTAACTAGTTTCTTCACCTCCCAGGTACATGGATTTCTTCCCCACTCCTTCCAACACCACCACTGACCTCCTCTTTGAGAAAAGTGCCAACTATTTCCATTCTGAGGAAGCCCCTAAGCGAGCTGCTTCCCTCATCCCCAAGGCCAAGATCATCACCATCCTCATCGACCCATCTGACCGGGCGTATTCCTGGTACCAGGTACGGACCTTGCCTTCAAGAAACTGACAGTGAAACCAGTAGCAGGGGATGATGGCCAGCATCAGTGGGAGTTGATGTCCTTGAGCAAGAATGGGATTTATTGCAAAGTATTTGCACGGCGTACAAGTGGAAGGATGCTGAATGCCAGCTTTTGCAGTTGGCACCTGTGACACCAGTGTCATAAATGATGAAACTTCTCAGCACAGAGCTGCCACCAGCTGTAAACAAACAGTTTAATCTCAATTACAGCTGACACTGCATAGAGGAAAAGCAGTGCTCCTTGCCCAGGGAGATACACGGGGGAAAATAAGCATGGCCTAGCTAGAAGATCAGAGCTCTTGGAGCTGAGAATCTGGTCCCTCTCATCCTTCCTCCAGCTTGTAAGCTGAGCAGTGTGCGGTGGTGTACAAATGTATGTAGTGTCTTCTAAAGTTACCGAGGAGTTAAAAAGAGCTGTGTCTAGAGAGTTGCAGGGTTTTTTCCCCTCTCCTTGGAAACAAAAGAAAGCCTGTTGTTTTTCTGAGGAAACTCTAGGATGCTCTTTCTTGCCTTTTACCAAGCCCACACCTTTCCATAACAAAGTCTTCTCTATTTAAAAACCCTATTTTTATAGAGACATTTAAGCATGCATGTAAAATACAGAGAAAGGAAATACTAAAAGCACTGTTAAAACAGACACAAATTAATAACCTTGCAATAAACATAAAATACACCATTTCTGATACCGTTATTATGAGTTCTGCAAGGAACAGAACATGGCCCAGGGCTGCAGTTCGCACCCTTTTTGATAGCTCATTTGCACCTTTACAACTGCCAATGCAAGACGCAAAGCAGTAAAAAAACCTGTGCCTACTTTGGCAGAATTTAGCTCCTCAGCTCCCCTCCCGCCAGCCCCAGGAGGGCCTTTGACTGAATGGTGGCCTCATCCTGCTTCCTCACCCCCCTGCCCCGGCTCCTACCCGGCAGAAACGGCACCGGCGGGGAGCCGAGGGGTTGCTGCGGGCTGCAGCCAGGCTGGCCGTGCCAGCACAGCCCTCCAACAAGCTCGCAGGAAGCTTACAGCTTAATCTTCAGCATCCTTGTGATATGTGTCTAAATATCTCCTGTTAGCATCAGCGATCCCATGAGGACCCTGCTGCCCTGAAATTCAATTTTTATGAAGTCATTACCTCCAGCCATTGGGCGCCCTCAGAGATAAGGACTCTCCAGAAGAGATGCCTGACACCCGGATGGTATGCTGTCCATATCGAAAGATGGTTAACTCATTACCCTGCTTCACAGGTAATTCCCAACCCATTGTTTCACCAAGCTCATCGACCCTCAAATATTTGGCAGAAGTGTGTTGATTTTTCTGTCTTCTGATAGAAAACTTGCAACAGGAAAATGCTATGAACTGTGGCCCCATGGGCTTGGTGGGGGACTTTGGGGTTTCCTTCCAGGATCAGCCAAGGTTGTGAAGGCTCCTGGGTCCCAAGAAACAAGCAGCTGCAGCGTGAGATATTGTGGGAAGGTTTGACAAATTCGTAGCTCAGTTCATATGTCTACCTACTGCAATAAAAAGTTGTTAAAGGGTATTTAATGAGCAAGCATAATCAACAAGTATCTCCAGAGGCCGCTCTATGTGGAACAGAATTTTGCTGAGAGGAGGTAGAACTGAGTGTTGTCTATTCAGTCAGGGACCTGGAAAAACAAAAAGAAATAGAAGCTCTGTCTTTTTGCAATCCTCATTCTTCTTTTTGTACAGTCTCAGCTGTACTACAAAGAGGAGAAGCAGGTCAATACCATTTCCAGGAGAAAGGAGAAAGTCTCAGTTAGTCATTTACTTTCTTTTTTTCATCTCTGGCCTTTCCACTCTTTCATAAATGGGGAAGGAGTACTGACTAAAGCAGTTGAGCTTGCAGCAAGGGCCATCCCCAGGCAGTATTGCCCTAGGAGCAAACAGGGCACCACGTCCCAGCTTATTCCTCTGAAGGTGAAGGGGCTGTCCTGGCAAATTCAGAGCACGCAAAGGGGTCCGAACATCCCGTGCCCTGTTACTCGTGCTCCTTCTCTGCCCTCACCCAGGGCTGCCGCCCCTTCTCATGAAGATTTCTCTCCTTCTCCTGCTGTAGTGAAGAGCGAGTGCAGCCCTCTAAATAAACATTCAGGGGCACACTGACATATTTCTTGTAAAACCGGTAACCACTCATGTTTCATAGTTATAGTGATTAATTTTACAAGATACACAACAAAATGCACTCATTCTTAATGCTTAACAGAGAGTGCACTCACAGTGCCTGCTAATGGGCACTCAGTAATGTGCATTCACTTGGCCTGTGCACTCAAAAACTTAATAATTCATAATAAGCCTTCGCAATAAATATAAAACACGCCTGCCCAGAATAGTTATTAGTAATATGGCTTGGTACTCCAGTAGGTTTTGACACATTGTCTTAACATTTGCTTGTGGAGGTCCATGTGCCTCTACATCACATCAATCTTCAATTAAAAACAACATAAAAAAGCCCTTTGCTAACAGTTTTGCAAGCCTATATGGTTGATACGCTGGTATCAAATCAATTGCCACAATATCACTTTTGAGCATGTAATTGTATAGTTTCTGAACATTTAATTCTATGGTATATATGAGCTTTTTGTTATTTCTCTTATTCCACACCAGATTTTCTATGGAGACATTGTAAACCTCAGTACCATTTTTACATTCTTTCCTTATGTCCTTTTCTCAGAATTCTCTAAGACTCATGTTTGGCTTGTGAGACATAACTCTTGCATTTGAACGACAGCGCACACAAAGTTACAAGGTGCCCACCTATACAAACTCAACATCATACAGTAAAAAGTAAATCTAAAAAAAGTTTCACGCATATGATTGTTATTAGCACTGTACAAAGTCACACGCTAATTTAAATCCATCTTGTCACAGAATGGAAATAATGTCATTCTTTCGTTAACCTTAGTCCTGTTTCTAAATAGCTAACATATTTACCCCTACAGTTGCTTATTATTGATGGACAGCAGCTAAGAAGTGACCCAGCTACTGTGATGGATGAAGTGCAGAAGTTTCTTGGAGTCTCTCCTCATTATAATTACTCTGAAGCTCTAACGTGAGTCTGTTCCTTTATTATCTGCCCCATGGGATCATAGTGTACATCCCCTCCTACCAAGATCACTCGATCATTAATTACAAACAAACAAAAAACACACTACAACAATGATAATTTTGCAAAGCTTGGGGTTTTCTTAAAGTCATGTTTAACACCCATCCAGTTTCCCCTTAGCTTGCATACATATAATACATCACGGAATTTAACTGCGTGACTGCGTACATTTCCGCATGCAAACTCTACTTGGCACAACATACAGAACAAACGACTGCTCAATATTTTGTGTTAGGCGCAGAACAAAGGCCCAGAGTCATGTATAAAGTGTCTGCTACGTTTGAGCATTCAGTCGGGGATGCCCAGGACTTGTTTTCTCAGTTTTGCTTGCATGGCTGCACTGTTTAAAACGTACATTCGGTTGGTGTGAGTTGTGCGTGTAAGAGCTCAGCACACGTTTGCGCGTCAGGCTGTTGAACCTTATGACAGCCTCCAGAAGCTGAAGACCACTTAGTGTCAGGTGGGAAAAGTGTGGCTTAAACGTTTTTATCACATTCCTATAGGAGTCTAGCAAGAGAGATTGGGTTAAAAGCACTCAGGATGATAAGGTTCATCTGGTCAGATGGTTTTTTCGGTTGTTTGCATTTAACGCAGGACAAACATATCATTCCCTAATCCCATTTTCATATAGCGTTGAGCCAGTTCTGCCAAGCATTTACCTGGTGGTAGGCAGACACACGGCACAGAAGAATTTAGTCTGTACACCTAAACTTGGGTCTTAAGAATATTGCTCTGCCAAAGTCTTTTTCTAGAGGAAAAGTTTTGGACTTCAGAATGTAATTTTTTAAATCATTGGTTTCCGAAGCGGATGAAATAGAGGCGGAGTTTGAATACACAGATGAACAACCGATGTTTGAACAACTGCTGCCGCACATCTGCAGCGCCTTCTGCTAGGTTTTTAAAAAAACACACCCACATGTATATATCTTCCTTTTGGTAACTAAATTAAAGTCAGTGGAGCTGCACACCGGGAAAAAAATTTGGCCTCTCATATTTGTTTGGACAGGAAAAAATGGATTGTAAACAGATCTATAAAATTATGCAACCACTGTTTAGAGGCATCAAGAATGCAAATGTACTATGGAAGCACACACTCCTGTATGGATATAGGATGGAAGAGGAAAATGCATTAAACATTGTAGTTGCTTTATGGTAGGACTGTCAAAGTAAAAAAGATTGCATAGGATCGTTCCTAGTCATTACTGCCTAATAACTGTATACCACATATTTTTAAAGTTGTCACAAAGCAGCCTAAGGACCCAGTCCCACAAACACTAGTGAGCAACAAATTCATCACCCTGAGTAATTATGTGAATGTCCCTCAGGAGAGTAAAATCAACTCAGGCAGAAGGAAGGTACTAATCAGAGCAGGGGGTAGACAGAGGCAGGGCTCAGGCATCTGGAGAGACGTGCACACCCTGCTGGGTTTGTAAGAGCCACAGCTGAGAGGGGCAACTAGGTTGCCGCTCCTTACACACACTGCCGAAGAGGACCTAGATTCAGACTGGATATGAGGAAGAAATTTTTTATGATGAGGGTGGTGAAACAGTGGCAAAAGTTGCCCAGAGAGGTTGTAGAAGCCCCATCCCTGGAAACATTCAAGGTTAGGTTGGACGGGGCTCTGAGTAACCTGGTGCAACTAAAGATTCCCCAGCTCACTGCAGGGGGGTTGGACTAGATGGCCTCTAAAGGTCCCTTCCAACCCAAACTATTCTGTCATTGTATGACCTGCACTTTTTATTAGAGTAGTGAAAACAAAGGGGGAAAATCCACTAGTGTTGCGAGGATTTACAGTAAAGCCATCAATAGAAAGACATTGGGATCCCTGCACAAACTGCTAGGAGAGGGAAACTAGTCAGTGGCTTCATGAAGTTCCCACACAGCACTGAAGAAACGCTTCCCACTTCTCCCCCATCCACTCGTTTTCATAGAGAGAGACCAAGGGCTTAAATTTTTTAAGTATCTGAACTTAATGAACAGAAACCTAGGACACATGGGACTAAAGTTAGAAAAGACCTTTCCTTTTAATCACATGATGGCCCGATCAAAGCTCCACTGACTGCTAGGAAGATGTATCTCATGCCCGACATCCTCAGATGACTCATGGTCCGGGGTAGCGTGGGCTGGTGTTTCCCTTCTTCCTTTGTTGTTCTCAGCAGACAGCAAAGGAAGGAGGCAGGACAGAACTTGGCTTTGGCAAAGGGCAGCCAAAACACTCCTTCCTCCAGCCCAGCTCATCACGCCCCGCTCTGCCCACAGAGGCAGCTCCACATCCAGCCTCCCAGGGGAGAATTCCCTCTTTTTCCCTCGTGTGAACAACAGGAGGGAAAGGAAAAGACAGGATTAGGGGAGCATGCTTAAGTAAATGTTTTCTCTCGGAGTGCTCCTACATTTTGTTAGAAAATAAGAGAAAGATCCTCACAGTAGCATCGCTTAGCCCTGCCCTTGCAGGGACCCTCCCCACCTCTAGCATCAGGTGTTGACTTCCCAAACGGTGGGGTGGGCGTACGGGTGTTCAACCCTGCATCTCCCACAGCCTTACTCTGCAAGGGAAGAAAAGATAAGCAGGGCTGGAGAACAGGTTTCTGCCGACTGCTTTAAAAAGCTCACTTGTAAGTTTAGCCTTAAGACTATCACTATTTTTAGATAAATACTTCCGTTGTGCCCAATTACGTTTCCAGGAGTCCTGAGAGTTTCATAATACCTGAACGCAATGGGTCAAAGACAGCCCGGGCTGTCTTACCCTCTTTTCCCCTCCCCAAATTTGCACATTCTCGTCATAATGTTCAATATGCACCTTCTGAGGCGGAAAAATTGTTTGGGGCATAGCTTTGCAGCTTTGCTTTTACCCAGCACACTATATTGCCGCTTCTCCTGGGAAATTAGTGCAAGCCAGCTAAAGTACTTCACCATGCAATGAGCAGATGGAAAAGGCCAAAGTAGAAACGAGTCTATCATCGATATATCCATTTAATCAATGATTTATTATTTTTAATTGATACAGCTACTGAGACAATTTAGGAAACAAGGGTCAGGCCTGCAATAATTGGCCAGGCAAGAAAAAAAACCGTGAAGAAGGTTCACCCTTCTCCAGAAATTAGTTTATTTATGTACAGCAGCAAATCGCAGGTGCACCCGTGTCGTAGGGGTAGACCCAGGGCAAAAAAGGTAGTTTGTAACTAATTAACTCCGTGTTCCAGCCAATTATGCTTCACCCTTTTCAAACATCTGCTGAATAGCAGAAATGTGAACCTTTTCAATGTTTTATGCATGCTGCAAGTCCCATAGCAATAAATTCAAAACTTAACGCTGCGTGTTGTTCATTCCTTAGTGGGTACGTGTTTGAAAGCCTTAATCTAAAATTCCTATATCTTTGAATTTTAGACAGCAAAATCAAATTGCATATTTCAGATAAGACTGCAAAGACAGTGTTTATGTTATAATGCCATCTTTGGAATGAAAATGATATTTAGATCTAATCATACGGAACAAGCAGCTTCTCAGGTGCAGTTAAATTATCAACAACCAACCAGCAGTTCTTTCAGCAGACCTGAACGCTGTTTATTTCACTCAAAATTCAACATAAAACATTTCAATATTAAATTTCTCATCGTTCCATAGTCACGCAACGATCACATACTTTTCTGCATAAATAGACCTGGGGATTGTGTCTCTGCCTGTTGAGGCCAGCAAATAGATCCGCTTGCCCTTTTTAACCCCTCACACCCTGACAGTGCCAACCTACAACTGCGTCAGCTCCAGCTAGCCATGCGGGGAGCTTTTCTTAGGCACAGCTGATAATGTCCTTGAGAACAGACTGCACCTAATTCCAGGAAAAGAGCTGATTAGTAATTTTTTCAACGCAATGTTCTTCGTTCAAGTGTCAATTGATCACAACATTAGCAACCCAGAGACACACACGGAGCAGTTTGACATGAATAAAATCTCTGACCAAAACCAGACAATAAAATGTGAGTCACAGTCTGGAGTGGGGCTGCGAGAGATCCTTGAGACTGAGGCTCAGGACCTTGACTGGCATCCTACAGATCGATGCTTAAAACTTGCACTCTTTATGCTGGACAACTAGAATAAAATTTAGGTACTGTAGGTAAAGCACAATGTGAGAAACTTCTTGCCGTGAGCCGCTCCCACGGCAAACTTGTGGGAAAAATGAACTCCCAGAGCTTTCACAAGAGATGAAAGCCGTTTCCCACTCTGTCCTCAGTATTTCAGTCATCTAGATAGGTATGTGCAGCAATAATTGTTGGCTAACACTGATGTCTTAGTAGCTGGCAGATTCTTCTGTAGTCAGGTCTTACAAACAATACAATCCTCTGTAGGTTTGACCCTCAGAAAGGCTTTTGGTGCCAGTTATTGGAAGGAGGGAAAACAAAGTGCCTGGGAAAAAGCAAAGGTCGAAAATACCCACCAATGGACCAAGAGGTAAGGGCTTACATTTTAGATTTAACATTTTTTAATACTGACCACATGTTTGACTCCTAAAATAAACACACTGATGATGACGGTGATGATTATTTTCCCTGGCTTGAACCTGGTCTAGAAGGAGGTGCCCCTGCCATGGCAGGGGGGTTGGAACTAGATGGTCTTTGAGGTCCCTTCCAACCCAAACCATTCTGCGGTTCTATATTTTTAAAAAATCAGAAAGTTTCAATGAGCTTTGAAGAACAGGAGATGAATTGCCCCCTGTTAAGAGCCCCTCTCTGGGAGCACCTGCCAAAACCTGCTGTCGTCTGGGTTTCCTTCTCTGACTGTTGTTTTTTTCTCACCCTTCTCAGTCTCGAGCATTTCTGTCGAGTTACTACAGAGACCACAACGTGGAGTTGTCCAAGCTGCTGCACAGGCTGGGGCAGCCCCTGCCCTCCTGGCTGAGACAGGAGCTGCAGAAGGTCAGGTAGCACGCAAGGGCGGGGGACCCACATAAGGACAATCTCCTTCACCGTCAAACCCCTTGCTTCTCCGACTCACTTGTGATCGTCAGTAGAGGACCTCATGAATAATGCTCTTTCTATTAAAAAAGAAACCAAAACAAACCACAAAAGAAAAAAATCAAACAAATCAGACAACTGTTTATATGCACGCGCTGACAGTTATTAGCATCGACCCCTTTTGTCAGCTTCCAGGAAATAACACCGAGCTACGTGGCATTACTCTTTATCCAGACCGGGATCGTGCATAGCCTGGTTCCTCTGTTCACTAGGAAGTACCAGAAACTGTGTGTAGGACGGATTGACCTCAGCGTACATGACAAATTGCAGTCTGTCAGGACACGAGCGAAGGATGGGAACTTCTCTCGCTGGACTGTGAGGTTGGTCATCTGCTGGGGTTTTTCTATGTTTGTTTTCGCTGTTGTTTCCCTCAACCCTGCAAGTTTTCCTATCATCTTACAGAGGGATATTCAGCACTTTGCAGTCAGGATCTCTAATGGTTATGATATATGGAGTATTAATGCACCATCATTGCTTTCTCCATAGAAAGAGGTGGGCTAAATTCTCACCTGACCAGCTTCCCTGGGATTCCTGTAATAACTGATGACAGTCTGTGCCCTTTCTCCTGTTGGTTTTGGTTTTTTCCCCCTTCACAAGAAGATATATCCTAATTTACTGGAGTTGTGTGGGTTGCTGAGGCGCAAGGCAGTGAGGTGGCCTTCCTCCCAGATCTCAGTGAAATCCATTGCCTCTCTTTTGGACATGGCCACTTTGCCATCCTCATAAGGTTTTTCATCATGTCTGTTGGGTTCCTACAGCAGCTGTGACATTGCTCAGAGATGTGAAATCAAATATTTTGTCATAATGTCTCAGTTCCTCGGCCAAGCACCATTTCAGGTGCTGCAAAGGCTTTGTGCTTCCCCTGCCCATGAATGTGATCCTGAACACCTCCTAGCTCAGGAGGCAGAACTGGATGTTGGGGTTGCACCATGCATTCAGACTAGTGAGAGCTAGCCTCAGGGAGCACAGATCAGAGCACATCATGGATGGTGGTATTCAAGTGCACTTAAACGAATTAATTTAGGCTTCAAACCTGTAGATATGTATCTTGGCAGCTCCAAATTCCTAAATCATGAGACTGTCCACCAGGATCACAACACTAGCTTATTTTGGATTAAGTCCAGTGCTATCCTGGTGCCACCCATCCTGCTCCCAGCTCGGCAGCGGCGGCACTTGCCGGTGAGTCTCCTCTGGCATCACCTGCCTGCCCCAGTGTTTCCTCTCACCTGGCCTCCATCACTTTCCTCCACCACCTCCCAGCTGAACATGCCTGGCTGCATTTCCCCGCTGCATCGTTCCAGCCCTTCCCTCAGTTCCACCCCTGCCCTGGTCCAGGTCCCTCACCCACGCGAGGAGCCGGCACTGCCCTCCTTGGTCGCGCACACACAACCCACGGGGTTGCACAGAGGAGAGGCTGAGGTGCAACCAGCACCAAGTCCCTGCGCGGCCCCTTGCGCTCCTGCTCTCCACCTCAGGCCTCGCTCCTTCTGCAGGAGGGCCCACAGCAGGGGTGGGAATAAGGCAAGGACAGGTACCCCCTGCCCTGCGGCTGCTGGCTGCCGCAGGACCACGACATGCCCAACCCCACCGGTGCTGCACTAGCCTACCGACACAGCGACGCACACGAGCATACACAGAAGCCCGAAAGACAAGCGTTGCCCAGTCTCACATTTGCTTTTAAATATTGATAACAGGATTCATCTCACACAAGTGAGACATCTACTTTATTTTATAGGTGATGAAGGGAAACAGTGCTTCTAGGACACCATTCATCTCATCACAAAGCAGACTTCTTAAACGAGTGAGATTAATCTTGGCTCTTCCTCTCTATTGATTGTAAAAGGACAATAGGCAACTCGTTCAGAGGAAGAGCTCAGCTGTATAGGTCTGAAATTAGGTGAGCTGAAAAGGGGACGGTGTTTTATCTCACAGCTATAGTTGTTGAAGATGAGAGGGAGCTAGGAGGGTCTGAGGGAAGGTTTTGCTTTTCTTTGGTTTTCCTAAAGTCATTTTTCTACTTCTTATATTTCGACCAGGACTCTCCAAAATGAGCGAGAGCAAACTAAATGCCAAATAAAAGGAACCTTATGTGGGGGGTTTTGGCTTTCTTTTTTTTTTTTTTTTTTTTGGGGGGGGGAGGGGGAGGGCATTTTACTAATTCACACGCTGAAATTTTAGCACTGATAATGCCAAAGATGCCTAGTTTGATGACAGTTTTGGATAAATGGTCAGAGAATATCTAAATCAACCATTTGATAAAATTTTAGCTGTTAAAATGCATTAGAATTGGCTCATCATTAATTAAAAGATGACTTCATAACTTCTTGATTAAAAGCTAAATAAACACAAAATTGGTTTCAGGAGTTTTTCAAGGAAATGAGACAAATACCATAAAATCTGGGAAATTATTTCTTGTTCTTAGCTTTTCATTTAGGAAAAAAAAAGAATTAAGTCTTTCCAACTCTCAGCTCTGTAATAGCATCATGTCCTTAAAACACACTGGATATTTTTATACCTCATTGTTATTTTTTAAGTTTGAATGGGCATCAAATTTCTGAGAGATCTCGTGTTCCATTTAAAACTGACATTTGAATTGACTTCATTATGTGTCATATAAAGATGAAATAACAGTATTTCAAAGTTTCATTCCTTCCACTTGTAATGGGGCCCATCAACACAGAATTTCTCTGGACCATCATATTATAGAGGAGCCTTTGTGAACTAGCTGTAAATGATCTCGATTTCTTTTATGCCTTTTATATCACTGACCACGTAATTGTTGGGATTCTTAAAGATCAGCAAAACAAATGCAATGAAAATGAAACATTTATTCATGGCAAGGGAGCTGTAGCTGGGAAAGATCATGCTGGCCCTTCTTTCCTATTCATAAGCTACCGGATTCATCTCCACAATACCTCCATGTGGTGCAGGCTGTAAATCAACAGGAGTTTTACACACTGGAGGGCTGCAGCTACAGTTTGCTCCCATTCCCCTGGAAATACGGATTTCTGTAGGGGTTTGAAAGAGCCTTGCTGCACTGAGGACCTGACCTACTGCCCGTGGAGACCAGTGGGAGTCTTCCTATTAATTCCAGCAGACCCCAGTTGGGCCCCAAGAGCTGGTTTCATAAGGCACTATTTGTGTGGTTCAAGCATCACGTAGCCCTACCACTGCTGGAAATCCCTCACTAGTGTGATTTCTATTACCTAGCAGCTATTTCTTCCTCCCCTCATTTCTCTCGGTCGGTGCTCTGCCATGGTGGAAGCTGTGAGCCGTCCCCCACCTCCAGCACCCCACGGGGCTGCACCACTTCTGGTCTTGCCGTACCACGCAGGTCCCTCTCTCGTCCATCCTCCTGCCTCACTGGCTATGAGCAATAGAAAACCCTGCGGGCCAGACACAGGCATCAGGGTCTATGGCAGCATATTTGATGATTAAAGCAGGACTTGGGCCCTCAGAAAACCAAGCTTGTATAATCGAGGTTGTCTTTGAGCGAGAAGCAATCAGAACAGAATCCAAAACCTTCTAAATTATGCATTGACCTCTCAAGGTCTAAAATAAAGTTGCTGGATTAACTGCTCATGGATGTTTTCTAATAAAACAAATTTTCTCTCCGATAGGGAACCAGACTGCCGAATGTCCCCAAAACAAATTAAGATGGCGGAATTATAAATTCTTGGGGGAGGAAAATGTTGCGTAATGAAAGCACTGATGGGTCCAGACTCTCTGATGTGATAATAAAGCAGCGGGGACATGCCCTGAATACAAAAGCAGAAGCTGAATATTTTTCTCCTCTTCCTTCCCCCTCCTCCTTTTCCTTCCCATTTGTGTTAAATTTTGAGCCAGCGCAGTGCATCTGGAAAGCACACCACGGGCAGAGCCCGTGAGGTGGGGGAACATTATTCATCCCTAGAACAATCGGCTGAGAATAAATTGGGTGCAGGGTGCTCATTTCCCCTAAGCTGGGCCACCTTAAAGTTAGCCATCAAATCCAAACCAGTCATTTAGTTTCCATCAGTAGCAAATTATGTTTATAATGGTTTTAAAATTGATGTTTATAATAGGTGTGTGAGTGTGTGACAGCTGTGTAAAACAGGTACAAGATAGGTATATAAATCAGCAGAGACTAAGTGTCTAATTTTATTGTAGTTAAGTAAGATTAAGTTCTCTGCTGGTGTCAGGAGAAGCTCTCTTTGCACATGCAATTTAGCTTTGCCATTTTAGCTCTCGTATTGCAGTGCCATCTCTCTCTTACCAGTAGATAGTCACTCAAAGAGCTGAACTCTCACACAATCACCTCACTATGTTTATCCTCATTGATATCAGATCATGAAACTCAGCTTTAACAGTTAGTTTGCCCATCATTATTTTAGTTCATATATCTCCACATAAATCTGCCAGGAACTGTTGCTTCAGAGACCTTTTTTTTATTTAAGTGTATCTTCTTGGGATAGGAATTTCCCTTTCAGACAACATTTCTTACATTGTCTTTATTTTCTCTTTTTTCCTTTCAGTTCATCCTTTAGTGTGACTGCAAAGGTGTGGATCTGTCTATGGATTCGATTCCTCCGTCACTATCCTATGTAGAAAAGCTACCACAAATAAATAAGGATTTGCAGGCAACACAGATTCTGAAGTGTTCAGTGCTCCACTGACTGGATAACTTTTATAAGACTTACTATAATTTCTGTAGTATTTCAAAACAAAAGACATCCTCTTGACAGAGCTGGAGAAAAACTTCACTGTCTTGCCCAAGCTCTTTTTTTTTTTCTCTTTTTCTTGCCCTTCCTACGTGACGACAGCAAATCCAGTTGAATAAAAAGTTGAAGTGTTGAAGAAAAAGGAATTAAAAAAAATTTTGGTCACTCGGAGTATTTTTGTTGGGGGGGTGGTGAGGGAGGTCAAAGTCTGTATTTGCTGGAATTGTTTTAAAAAATTGATGTGCACACACCTTATTATCGATTCTTCTCACTGCCGCAGAATAAACACTTCTGATGGTGTATTATAGAGAAAGCTTTTCTT